GCTGTAACGAGCTCAAGAATTTAAAGCGGCAGACGCGCGTGCGCTCGACGAAATCGTTTGTTATAATTTTGACTGTGAAGGAGTGTACTACTGCCATAATGTGCTGAAGTGAAATATGCTGGTCATATGTTTTCTTCTTCTACAGCTGAGGAGAAAGCAGATTGAATCAGTCAATGTTGGCGGCACGAATAATGTCATAAACGGTGAGCTGCCACCATTAGATTCACTGATCCTGCAACTATTAGGCCTGTTATTCAAATAATGAGTTTAGCGTCTAATGGTATTTATCATATTTCCCATTCAGTAGTCCCAAGAGCAATTCGATTTAGGCAGATATATAAGCAAATATAGAGAGCTGTCTCATACAGGTGCCGGCAGATGATGAGATTTTCACTTTCGACCAAATTCAATGGTGACGACATGTGTATCTTTTGTAAAGAGAACAATCTTAGAATGCATTGCAACAAGATCAGTGCAATAATTAAGAAAGTGGACACGGCAAAGAAAATCACAAAGTTAAGAATAAGAATAAGAAGTTGAATTTCCCTCAATATTAGTGTGTGCTGAGTGTTTGGTTGGTGTGTTGTAGTCTGTACGGAGCGAGGCATCTCTAAACTCATCTACACCAGCACAGTCAATGTGGCGTTCGCTGGCCGGCCCATCGAGGATGGAGAGGAAGACTCAGTTCCCTACGTGCCGCTGGACATGGTGAGATGGACACTGAGTGTGTTAGGATTTATTCTACATTCAGCCAGTTTAAGTGTCTAAAGTGGACTATCGAAATAAAGTGTAACCAAAAATCCCAATTGCTTATCTAGGGTTGCATGGACAAGCACTTTATGAAAATGTGAAAATCTAGTCTTCCTTTACCCATACCCAATTTTTAATCACCACAAACCGATCTGTTCCATTAGTGAGCATTGAGATCATAGGCATCAGATGTGGATGACTTTCACTAGGGATAAGTGTGTCGTGTTGGAGTGAACTCAAGCTGTGCTCCTGTGTGCTCCGCTTCACTGTCCCGAAGAACAGCCTGAAGTTAAGGAAGGTTAATGGAATGACACCTCACTCGAGTGATGAAGCCCGAAGTGCTACACAAGTCACCTGCTTTTGTCTGCCCAAACTTCATACATGAATACATAACATCTGATAAATCATACAACAGTACAGCTCACACACTCAGATTTCACTGGTGCCTTTGGAGGTTGACTTTCACCAACAGCAGGAAAATAGGGTTTAATATGTACGTATATATTTATTTATTTATTTATCAGTCAGCAAAAATTGTTTTTTAATTGTTTTTTTTCTTCTCTCTTCAAGCACATAGACCATTACTCCAGAACTAAAGCTATCGCTGAACACATGGTGCTCGCTGCCAATGGAAGATCAACAAAAGGTACGGAAATGGAAACTTGTTGGTCTCTGAAGTCAATCCTGTTATTGCGCACAATAGCAATAAGCGCAAGTGGTATCATGTACCCTGCTCATATCGTTTGTGTGTGTGTGTGTGTGTGTGTGTGTCCACTGCTCATGAGGTACTGAGGTAACGGCTGCTATGGTAATGACCACAGCCAGCAACCCAAGCCAACCAGACCTGCTGACACTGTTTTAAATTTAGACCTAGGCTTAATAATAAAGCCAAGCACTGAGTTTATTTGAAGCTGGCGTGTCTGAAGCTTATTCTGTGTTTGGATTCTGTGCTAATAATCACACACCTCCTTGCAGAACATAAGTGAGAAACAACTTTTTTTTATAGGAATCAGGAACATTGGTAATTTAAGCAATGTGGAATTATATAATTAAATGTACATTTTATCCTTTTTTT